ATGCTAACATGTGCTGTTGCACAAACTCACAGCTTCTTCAGCTCACTCTCCAAAGCCACAATGCAATGTAATAACATCTACAGAGAGCTTTTTATGAGACTGTCTCACATAATAATGCTATAAAAGCGAGATTTAAAAGATGGATTGCCCTGGACTCCGCAGACTTCACTTTTTAATGTTTACATAAATGCACCTTTTCCGGGGTGTTTGCAGATAACGGGCCTTCCCAAGTCGTGGGAGAGGAGGCAGCCATCAGCCTCCCTTCCCCTGCTGCGGCTCTCAGCAGGCAGCAGAGCTCTGCTGGGACCTTTCTGCCGTTCCCCAGCTCCTCCTCTCCTCTGACGGCAACAGGAGGCACAGAGCAGCACGCAAAGACTCATTTGTCACATCCAGAGCCCTCCTGCGAACACTTTGTTCAGAGGAAAAGTTTTGGATGTCAACAGAACCCATCCAGCCTTAATATTCCTTTGTTACGCCGCGCTAAAGACAAAAGGAGAGACATTAAGCTGTGATGTTTTAGAGCCTGTTGCCAAAGGAACAGTTTTGCTGCTCAGACGTGACTCCCTGCTCTGCACAGATACAAGCCTTCATTTGTCTGTGCCTGGGATAAGCCCAGATCAGCCACTGGCTGACACAGACCAAGTACAACTGAATCAATGCAGCCCAGAAAGAGAAGCAGGTTTTTGCATGAAGTCGATTTGATGCCCAACAACCTCAGAAGAGGAAAGCAGCCCAAGGTGCACCAGCATCAGGCTTCCTGGTTCAGCTATGCCACTCGGTGACATCTCAGCATGGGTGTGACATTATTTAAGGTCTCCTTGCCCTTATGTCAATCAAACCAGGTTCTACTTCTGGAAGCAGCAAGGGGAGAGCTGATTCCTTCTTCATCAGCAAGAGAAGGGGGACAAGAGACTGCAAAAGCATCTACCTGCCTGTGTCATGGGACAGGGGAATAAACTGTAAATGAGTAAGTAAATACATTCAGTGATTTGGTGTGGCTTAATTGAGCTGGGCTGAGGAAAGACTCCTCATTCAGCAAGCAGAGCTCCACCAAGACTGAGAAACTGTTGGAGATGTACAAGTTCTGACGAGATCCCCCGTTAATCGGCAGCGCTGATTTGGCTGTGCCTTCATCTCACTTGTTCGTCTTTGCCCTGCATTAAAACCTGTCAAGCCTGCAAACACCACAGTGGTTTTGTGATTAGGCTGCTCATCTGACAGTGAGCTGGGACTGGGAGAATTCCCTCCCCCCCCCAAGAAAAGCAGAAAGAAGGTGAGTGATCTTATTAGGATACGGCTAAGGTGGCTACGAGAGGAACTTTCTGGATTGCATGAAGGTCAACGTCATATTGAGCTTCTTCTCCAGGCCACACTCTCCCACCACCCCAACAGCTGGCACAGGCTGAGCTAGGAAGGGCTCTGTGGAAGCCGTAGCTGCCTCCTCGTTAAACGGAGAGTGCACAGTCCATGGATCTCGTGCTTAGATCCAGCCCTAACTTCCCACTACACACAGAAACCGGCACGCACAGACAAGTCCCAAGGCTTCGTGTTATTCTTTTGCTGTTTGTTTATTGGCATTTTGGGAATAGAGTGGCTTTGTCTATTCCAAACACAAAACAAATAGCTCACCACACACAAACTGCTGAGTTTACATTAGCAGGCAAGATACGCTTCTGCTATGAAGCCAGGCATGTATTAGGATAAGACAGAGCTGCCACATGACCAAAACCTCACAATGTTTTCTCTCCTTACTCTTCCCCAGCATCAAAGCCGTCTTCCTGGGCCCTTCTGCACACAACTCCACCAGCTAAGCAGTGGGGAGATGGACAGAAGATGACAAGAACTCTTCTGCCGCTTTCACATCACTGACTTCAAGGTCTGATCAGTTCTCCCTCGCAGGCAAGGAGGCCAAGGATCACACATTTTGAATTTGAAAGAGCCTGCTGCAGGCTCGCGTGGCAGTCCAGCCGAACAGAGGGAGAGGGTAGCCACAGCTGGCTGCCGAGCAGCTTTCCTTTGAAATCCTGCTCTGCACCAGGCAGACAGATGTCTTGCCAAGCTGATTGAGAGCAAGTGGAAAACAGTGAACACAAACACATCTGTGGTGGTGTCAGACACAGAAAAGGTTGGCATTGTAAGATGACAACATTGCTCAACCCTCATCCTACTGAAAGCACTGGAGCTGCGGTCTCCAGGAATCAGCAGTGGAAGAAGGATTGCCACGCAGCTCGAGGATGGCTCAGGCTGGTGGATACCACGAGGGCTCAGCTGTACACAGCGGGCTTTGTACTGCACCTATGTGCCCTACCACCAAGTTAGGGCCCCCTAGGAACATGGGGAAGTTGAGGGATGTCCTCTAGTATGTTGCAGTGCTGGTGTTGCACAGGGGCAGTGAGACAGAGCTGGGAAATGTAAAGGACACAAGGGGCTGAGGAACAACCAGAGTTTGTTTTCATTTGCCTGAACTTCCCTGCATTGGTTCCATGGGTGTGTAACAAAAGATAACGAAACTAACCAGGAATTGCTCCTCCTGAAGGGCTCCTGCAGATTTTGGACAGAAAGAACCCACCCTAAATGATCAGGTCCCATTTGTGCATGCCAGGTTTCTTTCCCTTGGTGGAGAACAGCTCCATCTTTCCCTTCTCTCCTCCATTCAGGCAGCCTGCGGCAGAAAGCCTCCTTCTTTCTCCTATTTGCATAAGTGATGATGCAGCCATCCTAATTATCATGGGAATCCACTGCTCCCCCTCCCAGCACCTCCCCGCTAGCTGCTGCTCTTTCCCTGCTACGGGTTTTGCTGGCAGATGGGACCGGAGCCTCCTCAGCCCACTGGCTCTTCCTTGAAGAAGAAGAAAGTGACAGCCCTGCAGGCAGCCGAGAGCGGCCGAAGCGCGGCAGCGTGACTAATCCGTCAGGCAGCAGCATCCCAAAGGCCAGGACCGAGGTTGTGCTCGCACAGCCAGCTCCGCCAGGGGAAAAGGGGATGCTGAGCACAAGCAGGGGGCTGCATCGGGTACATCTCCCCCCAGTGCTGAGCTGTGAGGATGCCTCTTAAGTTCTTCCTATTGTACTGGGGTCTAGGGTTTGGATCAAGTCAGCAATGAAGCGTACAGTCAGGGGGTAGCTCGACGGCAGGGCTCTAAGCTCATACATATGGAAGGATGACCTTACCAGCTCCGCTCAGTGTTCACTCTGCAAATCAGATCTGATTTGCAATCAGCCATGGCCACACTTTTCTCCATTTCACCCTCAAGTCCTGCCCTTACAGCATTGCTTACATATGGTTTCACCCGTGTTTTTTTGGGTTTATCTGTCCTACTTCCATCCCTATAACCCATTACCTCAGCAAATTAGCAGTTACTCGCAACGACCGCTCTGCCAGACATCTCTCGCTTTGTTTGTTTTAGGGTTAGGCCTTTCACACAGAGAAAGACGGGGTTTGTGATGCTATTTATCTGCCTGTAACGAGGTTCCTCGCAAAGTCCAGACACCAATAACTGCACCCACAGCAAGGACTGCTTAGCACGGCCCAGCCTGCACATAGCTTTTTATGTACATACATCAGATGGCCGACGCACGTGATCATCTTTCTGTATACGCCTGGAAAGGCTCCAAAGAACTGATGAACCAATTGGGATTATAGACAGGAGCGAGTTTAGTTACAGTCCCTGGGGGAAAACGAGGCCTGTGTGGAAGGAAGTAGGACAGGAGAGATGAAAATAGTCTATCGGGAAAGCAAGCCAAAAACCTGCCAGAACACCCAGCAAAATGCAAGACAGCCTTCTCCCTTACTCCAACCCCATGGGCTCCAGCATCCCACCAGCCATCAGCTGAGCTGTCAGCACCCTCAGCAGCTCCAGGACACCCAAACTCAAGCCCCAGAGCTGCAAAGCACAAAAGCCAAACCTGGGAGTGGGGGAGGGGATGGGGGGACTGTGTTCATGTCAGATGGTGCCAGGGCTGCCCTAGCACCTCCGCCTCTGTCCTGTCCAAGAGGCTGTCCCATGCTGGAGTCCCACTTCTCCAGAAATCAACAACCCCTTCTCACAGCAACCTTCTGCTTATGGACTTTGTGGGGCATTGACCCAGGGCCAAGCTGAACCCAATTAATGTTTCACAGCCATACAGAGCTTGCACCCACTTCCATCTCAAGGCCTGGCCCCAAGAGCAGTGCCCAGAGACCACCCCCTGCCTTCCCCTTGTTAGATCTCTTTCATCGCTTCCCACTTGCTCACTTCCTTCTCCCAGCCAGCATCTCAGTTGGCTCTGATGTGCCCCATCAGCAAATATCCTGATCCAGCCTGTCCCCAGCAGACACAAACACGCACAGCTCCAGCCAGGGAGGAGGTAAAATCCCTCCTGCAGGCGGATTCCACAAGAGCCTTCCACCAGGCCCTTGTGCCACAAACACCAGCCAGATGGCCTCACCACACGGTGTCCCACCACGTTTCGTAAGCAGCAAAGGTGCCAATTATCTCTTCCTCCCCTGCTTTCAAATCCTCACTCCCCTCACAACACATACACTCTTTTACTTGTCCCGCTTTCCACGTTCCAGGTTGGCAATTAGAATTTGCAACCTCTGAGCTTCTCTGCAAACTGATGAGCTGCTAAAAATACAGCCCCTGCAGGCACCCATTCAACTTCTATTTCTGTATTTTTTATTATTTATTTTTTTACTTTTACTTTTTTTTTTTTTTACCAATTTGAGATGAACAAAGCACTTCAACAAAGAGAAGGAGAAAATGCTGTGATTGTGAAGATGGATTGCTGCCATTTACTTTGTTCATTTTAATTACACAAAGTCATCACTTAGTGGGGAGCCTCAGGAAAGGAAGAGGAAAAGAGAAGGAAAAGGAGCCTCTCTACCCCACCTTTTTATTTCACTGTGCTCCATTTTAAAGCTTCCTCTGGCATCCTGGACAACAACAGCAGAACTAGCACTGCTATGCTCCTGTCACATTTATGCTCACAAATACTGCCGTGTCTAATAGCCAACTCACCTGCTGTGCCTTCAAACCACAAGGCTCCCAGCTCTCCTCCTCAAACAGCACCAAGCAGGCTCTGCACTTCTCCCCCAGCACAGCACCATCCTGCTCAACCCCCTGCAAGGCCCTGGACAGCTCATTTATAACCTTCCCCTACCCAGCCCCCTCCTGCCACCTCCCAGCTGGCAGCAATTTGAAGCTTCAGGACCATTTAGAAGTTCAGGACAGAAAAGTCCAAGCTGGTGCCTGGAAAGGGCTGGGATCTGGGCCTGGCTCCCTTTCTGTCTGATGTTAACTCATTCTGCCAGCTGGGGCAAATATGTTCCTGTTGCCGATCCCCTCCTGACAGGCTCATCAGCAGCTGATTCCCCTTACCCTGACTGTTACCTGTGGTGTGGCAATGGCAACTGTTTGCTGAAGCTATTAAACTGAAGCATCTGAACCCCAGTCTGGTGTGGCTGTCCCAAAACCAACTGTTCAGGTTTGGTTTGGAGGGTCAAGGCAGCTCCTGGCCCCCTTTTGGAATTGATTGTGCAGTGAGCCATTGCTTTTGGTGGGATTTCTCTTCATGTCAGGGTTCATGAGTCCTTGAGCTTCCTTTTACTCTCTTTAGGGTCACAGCAAGATGCCTGGTTTGGGGGGACAGAGGGGAACTGAGGGATTTCTGCCTCCCAGGACTGAACCCAGCTCCCAGGGTCCTCAATACAAAAAGGCCTCTTCCTCAAATAAATCACCTCTCTGTGCTCCCTGCGGCTGCCAGAGACATTTCTCATAGCCCAAACAGCTTCTTCATCTTTATCTGGGATTTCGGCCCCGTCTTTGTTCTAAAAGTTTTGGCTTTCTTCAGAGGTCTGATTTGGTTTCATCCTTGCAGGCTCCCCTAAATTCCCCTCTCAGCACAGTCTGCAGCTTTTTATTGAGTGGTTTGGGTTTCAGGGAGGAATTTCTCTGCTCATTTCTCTGAGCACTTGAGGTCCGGTGTTTAGATATTCTCTCCTCTCCCACCAATTGCCACCTTGTTCTTTGTTTGACACAGACTTGCTGCTTTGTAGTTTTATCTTCAGTAAGCTGTTGCCTTTCTTGTTTAACTACGGGGCTTACAGGCATTAGCCATGTGTCCTATCCCTCTAATGCCTGTAGCCTCTATTTCCATTTGCTCTGTGCTTCTGGCATCACTTTAAGCTTTTTCCCAGCCAGCACCAGGTCCCTGTATGGTTTTATTTGCACTTTCTTTTCTAATATTTGATTTTAATACACTCCACTTTTTTTTTTTTTTTTTTTTTTTTTTTTTTTTGTAGTTAGTACCATTGTCTAACCTGCAAAACTTCCAGGCTTCAACTTTTAATTCGAAGTTAATTCCCACACTCCCTTACCCTTTCTTGTTGGATGGTGTTCAATAGATAAGACTTTCACAGACAACATGCTGCTACTGTTGTTGGGGTTGTTGCTATTTATCTTCAAATATTTACAGCATTTCTTCCAAGCTTTCTTTCCTTTCCTCCTCTATCTCACTTGGTAAAGATGTTGCATTAACCTTCATAAAGAAAACTGTGGGCTTTTTTGTTTTATTTATTTATTTTTGTTTATTATCCAGGCACAGGTAGAATCAGATTTGGATAAGAGTCAGAATTTCTCTAAGAGAGGTCTTAAAATTTTGTTTTAAAGAAAATCTGATTCCTGAAGAAATGCCAAATTTTTGAAACACTTCACAAAATGACTTCACTAAAGCGCGTTTTTAAACAAATGATGGTGGTTTTTTTGGGGAAAATATTTAAAGTAAATTGACCTTGGAGGTGGATTGAAACATAAAGATTGTCACTAGCATTAAAGCTGATCCTCTTGGTAACCAAAAATAAGGATACGGTTCTGAAGTTTAAAATAATGCTGTTAAGAATGAAGGCTGCAGGTGAATGTGACGATGCAACACGACACGGCTGCAGGAAGATGGGCAGCTTTTTCTCTGCTTTGCTCCCCAACATCTTTACCCACTGCTTTATCCTGTCCTCAGCACCGTGTTGGTCCCTATAAGGTCTCACAGCTGCAGCACTGCTGACAGCTGTGACATCTCCTCTATGGAAATGTCTGCTCAGGTGTCCCCACTTTTCTTACAAATGCTCCCTCTGAACCCCTCCTGGTCCCAAATGATCATGCACTAGGGAGCAGTGGAAGGAAATCCTCTGTAAATGAGCCTGAAACTTGTTTCTATCCGTGGGGCAGGATAACCTGGTGAAAACAAGGTTGCCTCTTTCTGAAAGTCCAGAGAGTGCCTTGGCTTTCATTAGGGGTCCTGCATCGTTCCCTCTGTAATTGCTGAAAGGAAATCTCCTTGAATAGATCAGATAAGACAGTGGGCACCTTTACTGGGGAAAACAAACAAACAGACCTGAAGAGCTGCAGAACTGGAAAAGCATATCACATATCACACATATCAAGCACATATTTCACCTAGCAGATGTGGGAAAAGCTCTTTTTATGGAAAGCACCAAAAATGACTGAAAAGAGACGATCAGGACCTTTCATCCCAATACTCCGTATGATGGACCAGAAATATCCCAGCTTTCCGAAAACCAGTGGCTATGCATCCAGCAACCCCCCTGCTTATTTCTGCCTTGGCAAGTTCCTCTCCGCTTCAGCCCCAGCAGCTCAGCGGTGTCACTTGTTATCCCGGTGACCTCCCTCTCGGCGCCCAGCTGGCAGTCACGGGGCTGGCCAGGCAGAAAGGCAGCTCGGTGCCCGAGGGGACGGCTCCTGGATGCTCTGCGCTGCTGCTGGAGGCTGAGCCAGCTTCTGCAGGCTGCTCCTGGCTCACCCTGCCTCAGTTTCCCCACCCGCAATCAGGACACCACCGCTAAGCTCCAGTGCAAAATGCTTTGGGATTGCAAATGGGAGTTAATTGTCCATCCGACAGGAGTGGGGAATGAGCTTCTGCCCTGGGGGAGCTCCGTGCCCAATGACTAATCCCACAATGACCCCAGCAGGAGGGGCTGTGTCCCAGGACCCTCATGTGGCCCTGCCTCAGGCTACAAAAAACACGGGTTTGGGTCTTTCCCCTGTTATTTCTTCCAGTTTGCAGCAGTGTTTTGTGCTGTTTCGCATGGCTCAGCGCTGTTATTGACACACGCACTGTGTCCACATGCACCTCTGTGATAATCAGACAAAACAATGCTACCAGCACAGACACAGCTTTGCAGAATACATTACAAGTAAAGCCAGTGCCAAAAAGTGGTTGTTTTGGGATCTAGCAAATATGCCTGAGATCAGAATTAGAAAAAGCCAGACAGGATTTTTGCAGCACCGAAGTTGAACGGGGAAAGGTGGGAGCGAGGAGCGATGGATGCACGGACCGAGCCTTTTCCTGTACAAGGCAGATGTGCTCCCTCGTGCCCAAACACCCTGCAGCAGCAGCAGCAGCAGCAGCAGCCCAGCTGGCCTGGCTCTGGCTCGGGCCAGGTACTCGGAGCCACCGGCTCGCTGTCGCTGCGAGCAGCCTGCTGTCACAGGCACTGCCTGCTTTGCTCGCACCTAGGGCCAGCTCTGTTGGGAAATTACAGCTGAACGGAGCCACGACCTCGCCGTGACTCCCAGAGCCGCCCCTGACTTTTAGCAATTCTGACAGCTTTGGCTTTGCCTCGCTGACCCCTCCAGTTCAGGGGCAGGTGGCCAAGCCTCGTGCGCGGGAGGGCTGAGGCTCGGAGCTGGTGGTGCACCGCGGTTTGCAGCGCATCCCACCTGGAGAGGAATAATTGGGGAGGAAAATGCAGATAGGGCCTGGGGAGGTCCCCCTTGTCCTACAGGGCTGGGTGGCTGTGGTGTGAAGTGGGCAGGCTGGACGCTGGCTGAGTGCTCCCTGCTCCCTCGTGCACCTGCAGCTGCATCCTGCCCCGCACGCACCGCCCAGCCAGGATCTCGCGGGCCAGCATCCTTGAAAGGGAGGTTATGAGGAGGAAAATGACATCTCTAAGTGAAGAGCAGCACTTCATTGCTTCTCAATCCTTCTGCTGACGCCAGTTCGCTGCCTGCAGCGGACTCCAGAATACACCTAAAAATAAAACAACACCTGGGCCCTCCGCTGCTGGAGAGAACAGCCACAGTTTGCAATCAGCAGCGGTGGAGAAAATGCTCCAAGCACCAGGGGGCGGGCGGAGGGTCAGCCCGAGGCCCTCCGGTTGTGATGCTGATTGCAAACATGGGCAATGTCTCCCACCGAGCACGTCTCCCTGCTGCTCTCCTCGACACATTGTCATTCCGGTGCGGATCTTTGCTTCGATCGTAATCACACACAGCCGCACAAGAGCAGCGCGCTGGTAATGCACTGAGCCCACCGGCACGGAGAACTTGCCTGGGAAAATGAGGTCTTTTCTTAATGAGAGTGGCATTTTTGGTGTCTTCGGGATGTGGCTTCTCTGAAAGTAGCACAAGAAACAGCACAACAGTGGCAGACACTACACGGGTATGCAGACAGGATGGGATACATCTCTGATCCCCAGGGAGAGGGGGTGACGGGTCAATGTGTTATGGGTTTGGTACCTTGCTCCAGTGACTCCTACACTTGGGGTCACGATGCTCATGGTTGCTCTCAGGGAGGCTGGGTGACAGCAGGGCTTTCCGTGCCATGCTCCATTTGGTACGTAGCACAACTCAGAGGCAAGGAGCAGACTGAAAACCACTTTTAGTAAAACCATCAGAATTAGCAAGGATTAAATATTTGTGGGGATGAGAGACAGAAAGAGAGATCACAGAGGCTTATTCTTTACAACTAAATGACTCTGTTGCAGCTGGGGTGAGCATACTGTTCTCAAATGAAAGAAAAGGTGCAAACATTTACCTCAGTTCAACTAATCATGAACAGTAGCTTCCCCCGTCGCTCATTGGATGCCAGACCTGTGCCACAGTCGGGTACCGAGGGGTGGGAGGAAGGCGATGGGATGGTCCTGGTGCCAAGCTCTCCATCCTCGAACCACCCACAGAACATCACCCTGTCTCAGGAGGGTTTGAGAGACTTCATGTTTCCAGAACAGTTTAGGTTACAACTTCAGAAGAAAAAGCCAATAGGATTTTTTTTCCCCTTTTTTGTTTCCCCAACTCCAGTGGGGGATCTGTATATGCCAAAATGCAACAAATTGATGAAGTTTATACTGGGGA